GTATCAATGTTCAGATCATCCACTTAATGGGTTTTCTCAGGTGTAATAGTTTTACAGCCCCATAGCCCTATAGCCCTATAGTTCTACATGCCTATAGTCCTACAGCCCTATAGCCCTAAATCCCTATAACCCTATAGCCCTATTGGCCTTATAGCCCTTGTAGCCCATATAATCCTATAGCTTTACAGTTTTGCAGCCCTATAGCCCTACAACCCTATAACCCTATAGCCCTAGAGCTCTGTATGCCTATAGCCCTACAGACCTGTAGACCTATAGCCCGATGGTCCTATAGCCCTATAGCCCCATAGCCCTATAGCCCCATAGCCCTATAGCCCTAAAACGATTCGGATTGGGTTTTTCTCCGGTATCATTACTTCTAATTGCCGTGCCAGCGCGGACCGCAGGAAGACCCACTTGGCCGCGCGCCGGGCCGCAGAACAACCCAACAGGCCGCACAAAAGACCAACGGGCGGCACCACCAAAACACTTGCCCCCAGGGGATTGGCCCGTTCTAGCGACGGTTTGCATGTGGCGTCCATGCAAACGGGCGCGAACCCTTGGTGAGCCCAGTCCCCGGGGGAGGGGGCCCCTTCTGGCGGCCATTTGCATGGGGCGCCCATGCAAACGGGCGCGAACCCCAGATGCGTTCGGCCCGGGAACTCGCCGGGGGTTGGCCCGCCCCAGCGGTCATTTGCATGGCGCGCCCGTGCAAGCGGCCCCCGAACCGTGGGGGCCGGGCCCACCAGGGGTTCGTCCGTTCTGGAGGTCATTTGGATGGGGCGCCCGTGCAAATGTCCTCTGGCTTGAGAGGGCTCTAGAATTTCCAATTTGGGTGCCCCTGGGGGGGGGGTAAGGGGGGGGGCCCTTTCATACGCCTAGAGACCCAGAAGGGGTCGGCGGATTTTGCTCGTTGAGGCTTGGGCCCTCTGAGACCGTCGTCAGGCGATCGTGAGTATCCTTGGGGCTTTTCAACATGTCGGAGCTTTTTCGAACCGTTTTCAAAGGCATCTTGAGCATCGTCGAAGACACGGATTGTGGATGTGGGGTGACGAGAGCGCCGGAGGTACGATGGTCAGCGCTTGCACCCCGTCTAACAGGATTTTTGAACCCAAGGGAGAGGGAAATGGAGAAGGCGTGCAACCATCAATCTCACACGCTTTGTCACCGCCGACAAGCATGAATCGGCGGATTCCCCATCTGATTGTGTCCATGTGTTATCGCCCCCATGGCCTCCCGTCATTAGTGAGTCTTCAGTGCCCCCTTGATTTCTCTGCGAGGCGCGAGTTGGACTGTCCCCAGATCCCTTGTAGTCTTCAGGAGTCTTAAAGGGGCGCGGCCCCCAAATTTTTACATCTTCCTGGACTTGTCGCGAGTCCCCGGGGCGTCTTCCCGCGTGGCTTTGTTCGTCATCGGTGTATACCAGAATCGGTGTATACTTGAATTTCCCGATATTGTCATTTTTCAATCTTTCGGTTGGGGCGTGTATTCGATTGTTTTCATGGGCGACCCGCGTGGAAACGGCCGTCGTCAACGCCAGATCTAGCCCTTGCCCTGCAAGACCTTTTGGGGAGGGACGCCTCTCCCGGCATTGCGCCCTCTGGAAACCTGAAATTGTGTGCTTCTCGGGGCCTTCCAGGGCTTCAGGAGGGCCCTGTGAGGCACCTTCGAGATGTCACTTCGGACGCCCGTGAAAGTGTCAACTCCTAGGGCTCTTGAGGCCCTCTTGGGGCCTCTCTTGAAGCGTCTCGGGGGCTTCGGGAAGGCCTCGAAGGGGGGCCGAAGAGGTTCCGAGACATCGCGATGTTTTTTACACGCTTCGCTCGAACATCTGCTTGGGGCTTTCTATAGTGTGATCTGGAAAAGAGGATGGGAGTTGGCACGGGCTGTCCCTGGTGCGTGGGTGTCACTGAAGCAATCGGTGTCCCTCGTGCGTGAGAGGAGGGATTGTAGCAAAAACTTCCCTCGTGCGTGAGCGGGGATTCTAGTGAAAATGGTCTCTGGTGCACGGGGGACGATGTAACAAAACGGTCCCTCACGCATGAGGATGGGATTGTAGCAAGAGTTTTTCCTCGTACGTGAGGGAGGACTCCAGCGAAAGCGGCCTCTCGTGCTTGATCGGGGAGGTTGTATCAAGACGAGTCCGCCGCGAATGAGGGAGTATTGTGGCATGAAGTGTCTCTTGGTGGTGCGGGGCCAGCAGGACACATTGCACCTCGTTCACAAAGGGGGGATGGCAGCAAAAGTGAACCCTCGTACGTGAGGTCCCGTGTTGTGAATTTGCACTCTGTCACGAAGTGGACTGTGGCGAAACTGCTCTGTGTACATGAGCGGGAGTATGGGAAATACGTCTCCTCGTACATGCAGTACTAGAGTTTAGCAACAACCGTCTCTCGTGCGTGAGGAGAATATTAGCATCAACAGCTCTTCGCACGTTGGGCGGGATGACAGCGACAACGGTGTCTTCGCATATGATGTTTTTGTTGCAGCATTGCCTTGTGTTGTATGAGGGGGATTGTCGCAATAATGCTCCCTTTGTGAGTGAGAGGGCGCTGAAGCGGGAGCACAGCAATCGTGCACGAGGGGGGATTCTAGCAAATCGCGAGGCGGACTTGTAGCAACAGCGGTCCCCTCGTGCGTGCCGGGGGATTGTAGCAAAAACGGCCCGTCGTGCATGAGCGAAGCAGGGTACCCTGGTTGGGTTAATTATCCAGGGGGGGGGGGTAATAAATGGAACCCTCTCGGAAACCTCTCATGGGGCCCTCTGGGGTCGTCTTAGGGACCCCGAGAGGCTCCCCAGAGGAGACTGACAGCTATCGCTTCGAACTCCGCGCCTTGGAGTCGAACAAGAGGCTCACTGGGGCCCCTCTTGGAACCCTTTTGTAGATCCCTTGAGGCCCTCCGCGGGTTTTCTGGGGACGTTTCGGAGGCTCCGGACGGCCCCCAACTGGGCATTGGAAGTTACCGTTTCGAATATCATGCTGTGGAGTTGGACCGGGGACTCGTGGGACCCCCTTTTGGAACCCTGACGTGGCCCTCTCGGGGCCCTCCTCGGGGCCGCTGGAGCCTTGCTGGGGCCCCAAGGCGCCCCCGAGAGGGCACAGGAATTTATCGCGTCGAATGCTTACACGGCGGTTTTCCCGGTGGGGTAAGCTGTGTAGGGTGCGGCAAGATTGCGGCGCGCATGCGCCGATTTCGCGCGTCTAACAAACGAGGAAACATAACTTCTGAGATGGCGCGTGGGTGGGGCGCCCACTGGATCTTTGCTTCGACGGTTTTCTGGCAAACGGTATCGGTGTATGCTGGCTGGCCTCCTATGTAGGCGCCGCGCCGCTCCTTGGCGCTCGCCCCCCGCGTGGCGGGGCTCCGCCCAAGGGGGCGCCGCGCAGCGGGCCGCCGCCGCTCGGGCAGGATGCGACGCCGACGGCGGCGGCGGTGAGATCACCGAGGCCACCGCGTGCCTGTGGTGCACCTTGTCCAGGGCGGAGGTGCGGACGGTGCAATGCTTCGCGCCCGACAGGCCGCAGATAGGGGGCCACTTGCGAACCCTACCCCTACCCCCCACGATTTCGGAGGGGGACGGTGGGGTTCACGTCGTTCGGGAGCTCCCGAGCGAAGTGAACCCCACCCCCCACCCCTCAGGAATCGTGGGGGTAGGGGTAGGGTTCGCATGTGGCCCCCTAGCAGATGCGCGCGGTCGGCCGCACGGCGGGCACCGCGCACCCGGAGGCGCGCCGCCGTGCCGGAGGAGAGCGCCCGCCCCGCGCGCGGGCAGGCGGGCCACAGCTCGCCGACCCGAGGGCCGCCGACGTCGACGCCGCGGCGAAGCTCATAGCCGGCGGGGCCGTCGACGCTGCCCGGGCGCAGCGTGGACGCCGCAGTCGAGAGCGTGGTCGGGGCTGCCCGCTCCAGCTCCAGAGTCATCTCGCCTAATAATCGGTAATGTCTGCCAACGAGGAGGAGGAGGAGGAGGAGGAGGAGGAGGAGGAGGAGGAGGAGGAGGAGGAGGAGGAGGAGGAGGAGGAGGAGGAGGAGGAGGAGGAGGAGGGTGGCGGCGGTCACTGCCTCTGCTGCACAATCGCGTTCGCCATGGTTCGCCGCGGGCGTCCTCGGCAAGGCGCTGTGGTGCGGCCACGGCGGGGCACGGGAGAGGCGAGAGGCCCGGCCGCGTGCCGGGACGGCGGGGCAGAGTTCCAGCTTGGGGGCCCTACAGCCCTCCTCCACCTCCTCCTCCTCCTCCACCTCCTCCTCCTCCTCCTCCTCCTCCTCCTCCGATCGTGAAGACCACGACATCGGAGGTCCAGGTTGGCAACGACAGCCAACTCGTGGCGAGTCCCGCCCTCAGGCACGCAGGGCGACCACACGAGGTGTTCGACGACGTCGGCCGGATAAGAGTGGCGCCCCAAGGCTGACCTGATCACTGTTCGGTGGGTGCGAGCGTGCTCGAAGGTTTCCCCAGCCTTGCGATCGATTTCGAATACGCTTGAATACGCAAGTTAAGCTGAGCCTCATGCTCTGGGGCTTGAGCCCCTGACAACAGCTGTTACTTTTCACAGCTGAGCTCTCGCTGGACATCCTATGGACGTTATGATATTACCGATCTGCGCTTCGTATAACTTGAAACATGAACTGAGGATGCTTTTCAAAAGGAGCTTTCGCCTGAACGGCAGGCAGGGGTATTCCAGCATCGGTGACGCAGCTTGGGATCACACTTCTCCCTGTCCTCCTCCTCCCCGCCACCTTCCCTCCCCCTCCCCCATCCTACCTGTTCCCCCTCCGCGTGCTTCCTATTACCCATGTTTTTGTTGTTTTCCCTCCTGACTCCTTCTTCGTTGCGCCCCCCCCGCTTCTGCCCCCTCCTGGTCTCCTCCCCCTCGCTCTCGTCATGTTAACACCACCCCTCCTCCCCGCCTCCTCCCCCTCCTCCTCCCACCTCCCCCTCTTGCCTCCTCTTGCAACATCCTACCTCCCCCATCCTTCTCACCTCACACCTCCTCCACACCATGCCTGATCCTTCCCTTCAAGTGTCCTCCCCCTGCATGTACAGGAGGCTCAGCGCTGCGGGCGGCACGCGGACGTCTGCCAGCGTGTGGACGAGGCGGAGGCCAGGACGGGGATGATGATTACGATGATGGTGGAGGTGACGCTTACGACGACGACGACGACGACGACGACGACGACGACGACGACGACGACGACGACGACGACGACGACGACGGCAACACGACGACGACGACGACGGTGATAACGACTGTGAAAGCGATAATGTTGTTGATGATGATGATCATGATTATGAGGATGATGATGATGATGATGATGATGATGATGATGATGATGATGATGATGATGATGATGATGCTGATGCTGATGATGATGATGATGATGATGATGATGACGATGATGATGATAATGATGATGATCCTGATGATGATGATGATTATGATGATGATGATTATGATGATGATTATGATGATGACGAAGATGATTAGTTCGCGTGAGAGGCGGATGTCTTAACTGTAGAGGTAGCACGATGTAACCGCAGTGCACCCCAGCTCTAAGACGCGGCGTTTCTGGAGTGAAGGCTCAGGGGGTGTAGTCAACTCTCTGTGATCCGAGACTGTGGGCAAGAGGACGGGCATGAGGAAGGACGTGACAGCCACCCAAGCGAACTTTGAAATTCGGCAGTACATGATTGACTGTTTTTCGTATGGCCAGATATTCAGCGTTCGGGTGCTGCTCGTATCGTGTGTTTGGGTGGTGATCGTATCGTCGGGGGCATACGCTTTCCGCAGTCGTTTACGGGATGTCCCACCTTACCGCTCATATTCCTAAATTTCTGTGGGCACGCTGGAACCCTGAGCTATGGGCCATGAGTCTCTGAGTGTTCCTTCGTTCCTTCGTCTTCCTCTCCCCTTTCCTTCCTTCCCTCTGCTCCTTCTCCTCCTTTCGCCAGTGCTTTATTACTTCTGGAATTGGCCAGGGGTCAAAGCAGATGATGCGCGCGACGCCCGCTTGCGTGCGGGTTAAGCTGTGTCATGTTGGTCTGCGCGTGACTCTTGGTGTGATCGATGCATTTCGTGTGCATCATCGTGCGCAGTGAAGCGTGATCTTGGATAATCCATCTACTAATACCAGTATATTCCAGCAGCTTTTCGTGACGATGTCTGGCATCTCTCGGCCATGCTGTATCAAATATCAAATTCTCAGGCTGGATCATTTTTTGTCCTCCATGGGTCAGATCAGCTTTACCTTTTCTGAGGGTCAGATGATCTCCTCCTCTATGGGGCCATGTCTTTCGCACAACCCTGCCACGCCCTTCCGCTCTGCACCGCTCGTCCATCCCTCCGTCAGGTTCCTCCACCAGCCCCTTTCCTTCCGTTCCTCCTTGTACGGTGAGGGGCGTCACACCGTGCGACTGATCAGAAGGTGGCATGGTACGGTTCAGTACCCTTTACCAGCCTCGAACGTATCCCTATCCCTAAGATTGACGCGCCAAGAGGCGATGACAATCTTAGAAAGAGCGTGTTCTACCGCTGCTGGCGGAAAACCGGGGGGGGTCACTACCGGTTCGAACCCCTCCCCCCCCCCCCCCCCCTCCGGAAAACCGGGGGGGGTCACTACCGGTTCGAACCCCTGGACGGCGGTGGGACAATGGGACAGAGGTACAGTGGGGACAGTGGTGGGGACAGTGGGGACAGTGGTGGGAACAGTGGGACAGCTCAGTGGGACAGCGGCGGAGTCAGTGGGACAGTGGGGACAGTGGGGATAGTCGGGCAGTGGTTGGGGCCGTGGAGACAGTGGGGAGAGTGGAACCGTGGTGGGAACAGTGGTGGGGACAGTGGGGACAGTGCGACAGTGGTGGGGGCACTGGTGGGGACACAGTGGGGACAGTGGTGGTGAGGACAGTGGTGCTGGGAACAACAGTGGAGGATGTGATGCGGACGGTGGTAGGGACCGGGAGTCGTTTGCTGGCGGTGAGTGGGGGGGTGGGGAGGGGTTCGAACCGGTAGTGATCCCCCTCCGGTTTTCGAGGGGGGTGGGGGGGTTCGAACCGGTAGTGACCCCCCCCGGTTTTCGGATCCGGAGGGGGGTGGGGGGGTTCGAACCGGTAGTGACCCCCCCCGGGTTTTCGAGGGGGAGGGGGGGGGGGGGAGGGGTTAGGGGAGGGAAGGGGTTTTGCCGGGGGAGAGGGGGGGGGGGGGGGGAGGGGTTCCAGCAGGGGGGGGGGGGGGATTTTCGGAGGGGGGGGGGGGGCGACCCCCGGGCTCCGGAGGAAAAGGTTGGCAATTTTCAACAGTAAAGCGGCGGTGGATCACGCTCTCTCCAATCTTAGGGATCCGCCCTCAAAAAATAGGGGAATCCTTAAGATTGGCATCATGATGAGGAGGTGCCCAGCTAGGGATAGGGATACAGCCGGGGCCCTGCAGACGGAACCCTTTTGGTTGGGGAGGGGCTCCGCGTTCCTTAAGTGTTTCAGCTTGCCTCAGGCTTTCCTTATGTTTTCGACAGGAAATCGAAGGTCAACTTATGGAAAAAAAGGGGCCTCGTTCCTTATTTTGGGTTCCTTAGGTCAACGCCCCGATTGTAGGGATAGGGATCTGTTCCAGGCTGGTAAACCCTGGGCATCTCGCCGACGCCGCCCACACCACCAGCTCTCGTCGTGCCCCTCTTGCCGACGCTTGGGTCGCCGACGCCTCCTCCTCCCCCCCTCCTCCTCCCCCTCCTCCTCCCCCCCTCCTCCTCCTCCTCCTCCTCCCCCTCCTCCTCCTCCTCCTTCTCCTCCTTCAGTGCCTCCGAGTTCAATCCCGACACGAAAAGGTGCTCGGCTGGTGTTGCCGTTTTCGTGCGATCGGGGCTGGGCCTGCGGTGGACTGACCCGTGCTGCCAGGCCATTGCCCCCCACAGGGCCATCCAGGTCACCGTGGACACACCCAGTTTGTCGTTCAACATTGTTTGTGCTTATTTCCATGTGAGCGAAGGCCTGAGCGCGCGGAACGTGGCACTGATGAGCGCCATTGGAGCGACGATTTCTGACCAGGACCGCACATTCGTAGCAGCAGATTGGAACATGTCTCCAGACCTGCTGGAGGCTTCGGGACTGCCGCAGCGCATGCAGATGTCCATCCTGGCGCCGCCCATGTCCACGTGCCGCGCTGCCACTACGTCGTCAACAATTGATTACCTTTTAGTTGGACACGCGTTGTGTAGGGCCGTGGAGAACATTGTTGTCGATAGTGCATGGCATGTTAAGCCCCATAGGCCTGCAATGCTGCTGTGTCGTGCCGATGTGCTGCAGGTGCGCCAGCTTGTTTTCCGCAGCCAGCGCCGCATCCCCGTTGAGCAGCCGATCGGTTGCGCCAGAGCACCTCCGGATTGGCAGGTGCCGGGGCGCCTTCTGCCCCAGCTCGAGGTTTTGTCGTTGCACGGTTCCTCCCAGGAAGCATGGGCACTCCTGAATGAGGTCTGGGCTCTCTTTGCTGACCGTGCGGAGCATGAGCTCTTTGATCTGTGTGACCTCCCTCCCGAGCGCATGGGCCTACGGGGGTCTCGTGTCCAGGCTGTTTGGGAACCAATCATCCACCGCCAACGCCGTCCCGATGACGTGACGCTTGTTGCTCAGTGCTGGCAGTGCATGATGGACATGTTCCACGATTTTTTAAATTTAACTGGCCATGACGGTGTGGATTGGCAATCGGGTGAAGGTTACCACCACCTCTTGGCCATGCGCACCCCGCATGCTGGTGAGGGTCTTTGTGTCAGGTTTGATCGATCGCTTGCCTCCTTGCGTACCCTCCTCACCTCCTGGTCTCCCCAGCATCCGTGGGATCCCTCACAGAGGGAGGCGGCTCGTACGCTGCATGCTGAGTTGTCGGAGGAGTGTGGAGAGGTGCAAGCTGCCCTAACCAAGAGTCGAGACGCGCCGTGGCGCGAATGGCAGCTTTCTGCGCTGAGCGGCTCTGCCCGGCGCATGCATCGTCTCACTCGCATCAAGAAGCTGTGGCAGCCCACAGTCGCCAGCGTTGTTCCTGGACACTTCACTTCTGCGCCCTCCGCTTTACTAGAGGAGGAGGCTTTGCAGTTGGGAAGATTTTGGCACGCGACCGTAGAACCGCCCGAAGCATGGATTCCCGATCGCGAGTGCCTTGCGCCACTCACGGTTGCCCAGCTACGCTCTGCCGCGAGCTCTTTTTCGACGCGCACTGCCCAGAGCATCGACGGCTTCCACCCCCGCCACGTGCGCATGCTCAGCGACGAGGCTCTGAGGCAGCTGAGCGCATTGTTCTCGTGCTCCGAGCGGCTGGGCCTATTTCCAGCTCAGCTGCTCTGGCTTTTGTTCCCCCTCCTCGACAAGCCGCAGGGGGGATATCGACCGATCCTTCTTGTGGCATCTTTCGTTCGAGTGTGGGAGCGTGCACGCAGGCCCGAAGCATAATCTTTCATCGACTCGTCGAGTCGACGGTACTGGTCGTTCGGGAAGGGTCGGGGGGCTGACGAAGCCGTCTGGACTGCGGCCGTTCGCGCCGAGAAAGGAGCCTCCGAAGGCTACGCCACCGCGGGTTTTTCGTGGGATGGCCGAAAGTGTTATGAGTTTTTCGATTTGTGTTGGTTTCGTGACCTGGCACTGGAGCGTGGCCTCCCGAGGCCGTTAGTCAAAGTCTTATTTAATTTCTGGCGCGGGCCAAGATTTGTACGCCTAGGAGCGGCCGTCTGCCCACTAGTTCAGTTTGCCGCGTCGGGCTTCCCAGCGGGGGACATATTTAATTACGTTTTCGTGAAAGTCTACATGATTGCCGCCCTCGATGGCTTCGTAGCACGCAACGTGAACATCGATCTCGGGGTGCATGTCGACGACGATGTTGTTACCGCCACAGGTCCGAAACACATTGTTGTCGCGAACCTTGTGAAGGCTGCCTCGGACCTCATTGGCGTCTACAGCACGGAACTCAAGGTCGATTTGGCGGAGGACAAGGCAATAGTTTTTGGTTCTTGTCCACAAGTGGTGCGCGATCTCGACCGCCAACTGCAGAAGCTGGGCGTGAAGTCGCGTGCCGATACTTCCACTGTGGCACTCGGCGCGGACCTTGCCCCAGGCAGACCCCGCGCGGCCCGTGGGTCCACGGCTCGGATGCGTAAGAGGTTCAAGGACATGGAAAGACGGATTGCTTATCTGCGGGCTCTGCGTCGTCGCCTCACCGTGGGCAAACCGAAGCTGCATAATATCTACATCTCAGGTGTCCGGCCGGCGGCCACGTTCGGCAGCATGATCAGTGGCCTCACATCCCGTGAACCCGTGAACTACTCACCCTACGCCGTGCCTTGATGCCGTATCGGGGCGGTTCTTTGGACGAGAGGATGCTACTGTATGGCGATCCTGCGTGGCAGGCCTCGGTGGCGCCCATGCTGCAGTACGCGAAGGCTTTATGGCGGTCCCTGGTCGAGCCCGGCACTACCGTACTCTCTTGGAGATTCCTGCAGAGGGCGTGGAACGCTGTGACCGCCCAGTTCCCTATCTTGGATCAGGCTCAGTGGAAGCGTTCTGCTGGCCCCATACACCGAGCTATGTTGCGTCTGTCACGTTTGGGCTGGTCTTGCACGAACTTCAAGACGTTCAGGGATGACATGCATGTCGAGATCGACCTCTTCTACACGTCACCCGCCATGCTTGCCAAGCTCCTGCACGCCACCGTAAAGCGACAGCATGGCCGTAACTTTGCGAGCTCGTTGGACGGAGGGGCGGGCCGTGAAGTCTCTGCTGCTGTGGTTGCCAAGTGCCTCCGCTCCAAAAGATTTAATCCTCTCCAAAAGCATATCATTGGCTCTGTCTTTTCAGGGGGGTGTGCCACGTCAAGCATAATTTTGAGTCCACGGGCATGTGCCCATTGTGTGGTCAACCCGACTCCGTGCACCACCGCCTCTGGCACAGCGCAGCGTGCCCCAGCGCGCCGAGTCCGTGCCAGAGGAAATCATACACGCGGCACGCTCGGAACCGTCCGATCTGCTCTGGTCTAGGCTCGTCGTTTTCCAGCCAGACGATAGCGAGTTTCCGCCCCCCTCGGATGCCTTATGGCCGGACTTCCAAGATGCCCAGGGGATGTCTATTTCTCGGGGGGCTTTCCAAGAACTCAGTGCCGATTGTGGTGTATGCGTGGATGGCAGTGCCACGCGATGTGAATTTCACAGGCTCGACCGCGCGGCGTATGCTGTTGTTTTCCTTGAGCCTGCCGACGCGTACCAAGTCAGATGTCGGCTCGAAGGGGTTGTTTGGTATAGCCTCCCTCATACTGCCCCCGCCGCGGAACACCTCGTCCTCGCTGTCCTCTCTCTTGTCCAGGCCGGACCCGCGCGACCATGCTCTGATTGTCTAGGTGTGGCTCGTTAGTGCAACAAGCCGCCCTTGGCCCATCTTGCGCACGCTCAGGTTTTCGCTGGGCTTCGGCGCGGTGCACATGAGGGCCACTGACATGATCACGTAGGTCAGGTGATGCACACGCCCGCGCATAGGTCGGATGAGATAATTCAGACACTGGCACCGAGGGACCAGATGATCGCCCTGGGCAATAAGGATGCCGATCTTCTTGCTAAAGACGCTCTCCTGCTCCATCCCCACGGTACCCCGTCGAGCAGCGAGCGCATGAGCCTGATGGCCAAGAGGCTACGGGCTGTTGCCAATCTGGTGGCCAATGTGTTGCCACTGCTCCCGCTCCCCACTTTCAAGCGAAGTAAGACGCCGAGCACCACCCATGAGGCGTCGTGGAATGTGTGGTCTCCGGTGGGCGAGGGTAAGGTGAGGTGTGCTCGATGTCTTCGTCTAGCCAAGGCTGGGCCAGACCTGGCTTAAACGCAGTGCCCTGGTCCTCCTCCAGTCTTCCCTCAGCTGTGTGGCAACGAGTGTCCACCGTCACAGCCTGCAGGCCGCGTGGACGACGCGATCGCGCCCTCTAATCTATTGCGTTCAGTGTGGCGCTTTTGCGGAAGAGCGCATAGGACCTTTATTGGTCAAGCGGTGTGACCGCGCCATCTCGGCCCGGAACGCCTATCAGTTTCGGCGGCTCCAGAGTGGGCAGCATCCGCAGCACCGCAGGCGCCATGAAAAGGTGGCTCTTGCGTCGAAGGCGGATCTGCGCTTGATAAAGGGGGCGATTGGGTGGGCGGTCGAGTCGGGGGGCGGGACCTCGTCAAGCAGCTATTCCGCAGGGTTTATAAGCACCCCTGGGATGGACGCCCTCCGGGCCCGCCTGCAGGCTCGCGAAGCCCAGGCTGCCGAGGAGTGTCGATAGCCTTTGTTCTGGCCTAGGCGTTTGGCCTAGTTTCGTTTTGCTGGTACTGTTTCATCTGTTTGTCATCCTCCTTCTCCTCCTCCTCCTCCTCCTTTTCCTCCTCCTCCTCCTCCTCCTCCTCCTCCTCCTCCTCGTCCTCTTGTCGACGCTTTGGTCGTGACCTCTCAACCGTACCATTGCCTTCGGCCCTTGCGTTCGGCATCGCTCGGACGTGTGCACTTTTCCTTCGGCGAGGACCATCGAGGAGCATTCTTGATCATTTGGCGAAACAACCACGCACGAAACCGAAAAAAACACGGGGAACGGACGTCCGAGCCATGGCGAGTTGCACCAATTCGGTCCTCCTTCCCGCCCTCCACGACCGGGTGGCCTCTGCGCCGGCCTGCTCTGGCACAACCACGATCTATCGGCGATGAGTCTGCTGCCGGCGAGCATTCCGACGGCTGCGAATTTTTGCCGCTTGCCGAGGTTCTGGCCAAAGCTCGTCCGCGTGCAGTGTCCCGTCACACATGGTTCCCCTTTCGGAGCGGGGCCGAGCGCCTCGTACTCCCCGCTTTCTCGAGCCATCGCACGCTGCCCCGCGCAGATGTCGTATCTGGCTGCCCCGCAGATCTCGTACTTGGGCTTTCGTCTTGCGCGGCTCTTCCGCCTGCTCGCCTACTCTGTCGGCCACCCTGCCGTGTCGTCGTGCCTCTTGCCTTACCTCTCGTGTCTCTGCCGTCGCTCGTTGGACTCCTTGGGGCGCCTGTCGCCTCGGAGCCGCCACCTTTCGCCAGATGTGCACCTCGTGACTGGCAACAGTGTTGGCCCTGGTCTTGGAAACGCGATACTGTTCGTGCTCGCTCGATGTGGTATCGGTGATGAGCGACTGTGACGACGATGCCGACTGCTGCCGACACGGTAACCCCACGCTTTCTAGCGAGTTTCCCGCCGACGCAGGCCAGGAAGAAAGCTGCCGTCCTCAACGACGAATTGGAGGCGCCACGGCAAGTGTCACACTCTCTGTCGACATGTCATCGGTGTTTTCTGAGCTTCCGCGTTTTGTTTGTCTCTTGCCATGGTTGATGCTTGCCTCATCTCGCAGCTGCTCGACAATCGACGCGCTCACTCGGTCGTGTTTCCGCCGTTCGGAAGATCGCGCCAGCCCCTTGAACAACGCGCGGTCTTCCAACCAGGACGGGGAGGAGGAGCGGGATGATGAATATCAGGTAATCTCTGTCCGAGAACGAAAAGAACGTGTAGGACGATACGGATTGTTATGCAGCTGTTTGTGATGATGATGTTGATGGTTACGTTGAGGGCGGCATGGATGATGATAGCGGAGAAACGGTAGTGGCCGGAAGATGATATGGAAGAGAGAGAGAGAGAGAGAAACAACAAACTAGAGAGAGAGAGAGAGAACAACAAACAAAACAATGCATATGTTGACGGGGACATCCAGAACAAGATAAGTGGCTGTGATCACGAGGAGGACAGCGATGAAGAAGCGGGCAGAGCAATAATGAGCATGAGGAGGATGAATGCAGAACGAGCGTGATAGTGATCGAGCACGGGGCAGAAGCAGGGATATACAGAAGGAGAGATATTACGAAGAGGAGGCGGAGGATGAGGAGGTGATGCCAGTAATCATAGTGATGCTGACAGTTCAGGGGGGACGACGCAGAGGACCAGCACGAGGCTGTCGAGGAGAGCTGCGGCGAGAGCGAGAGGGAGACTGGCAGGAGCGGGCACGGGGACAGGCCGTAAAAGGGTGACGAGAAGGGGGGCGTGGAGGACGCGGCGGGATGGAGCGAGGGACCGAACGACGAGGCGGAGGAGGAGGAGGAGGAGGAGGAGGAGGAGGAGGAAGAGGAGGAAGAGGAGGAGAAAAACGGAGGGAGGAGGAGGAGAAGGAGGAGGAGGAGGAGGAGGAGGAGGAGGAAGCGGAGGAGAAACACGGGGAGGAGGAGGAGGAGGAGGAGGAGGAGGAGGAGGAGGAGGAGCCAGAGTGGCTGACGTGGGATGGGGTGGGCGGGCCCTGCCTCCTGGGTATACCGCCGAGGGGCGAGGCGCCCCCCCCCCCCCCAAAAAAAAAAAAGAAAAAAAGAAAAAGAAGAACAAGTGGCGTCCCCCACCGCCACTTTTTTGCAGGTTTTCGCATTCTTTTTTGCACTGCTGTCGGCTGCTTTGTCGCGCGCGTCTGGGAGGATGGCCCCCTTGAGGGGCAGCGGACTTCAGGTGTGGCTGTGCGATCGATTCGAACCTTCAGGCGATTTCGTTGCCGGGGAGAAAAAAGTGTGGCGCCCCGTGTCTTGACGAGACCCGTCGGAGGAGGACATCGACGGAGAAGGAAGGGTCACGAGCACGCGGAGGATGGGGATGCGGCAGAGAGCCCTCCCCCCCCAAAAAAAAAGAGAGAGTGGTGACCGTCGGAGGAGGACGTAGACGGAGAAGGAGGGATCACGAGCACGTGGAGGATGGGGATGCGGCAGAGTGCCCCGACCCCGGATCTGCCGTACTCTCTGGGCGATTCCGCATAGGCAGGGCGGAAAATGTTCGCCCTCACTCTTCGAGCTCCTCTGATGCCGATCTCCGCCTTGCTTTGCCGTCGTTGCTTCCACCGTACTTTTGCAGAGATGCCTGCCCTATTTTCTGCGGCGGACATACGGTAGAGGGAAACACTTAGTGAACACCCCCCCTGCCCCCCTAACTCAAAGTTGGCACGCGCGGGGGAGACTGCGGTCGAGGTGCAACTCATCAGACCCACCGCCAACTTTGAACATTGGGGGGAGGGGGAGGCGTTCACAGATGAGTGTGGCATGCGTGTTCGCTATATTTTTTTCCGAGGCCTGCATCCGCCCTGCGTCTTCGCATCGTCTGGGGTGCACTTCCGACAGAGCTGCAGGTCGGAGAAGCGACCAGAGGCACGGCCGGGTCTGGAGCCAGATCGGTGGGGGGGGGGAGCGCGCGAGGCCGGGTCGCCCGCGGAGGCGCGCAGGCGGGTGACCTCGGTGACGACGAGGACGTGGAGGGCACTGGGAAGGGTGAGGAATGATGCTGCTGCATCTTCGGGGGACCTCGCCTGTGCCTAAACTTGGTGTCTTTTGGGGGGCCCGACGCGGGCTCGATGCGGACTCGACGCGGGTTTGGCATGGATTCGACGCGGATTCGGCACGGATTCGACACGGATCCGACGCGTCCGACATGGATTCGACACGCATTCGACGCGGACAGGGCCGCAACGGGACAGACAAGGTCCCCCGAGGATGCAACATAAGAATGACGAGGACGGGTGGAGTGACGATGGGGAAGGACAGGGCGAGTTTGAATCGTGTGAGTGCAAGTCAGAGGAGGAATCGGTACCCATACCTCTACCCTTCCCTCGTTCTCCCCTTTTTGGGCCTCCTCGGAGGCCCTCGTCGCCGCCGCTGGGTCCGCCTCGAAATCCTGGTCAGAACGCACCCTGGGAGAGGCCCGGGGAGTAGCGGTATCGGTACCTTGTGGTTTCCCCAGTGAGGCGAGGGGTGGTAGGGGCAACGGGCGGTCAAAAAGGCGGCGATGAGATAACACGATTAGGACAGCGCTACTGGTGCAAATGCAGGGGAAACATTTCCATAATCGTATTTCGCTGGAGGGTTCTAACACATATCAAACATTCATTCCTCTTATTACAATCTCCACAGGGGGTGGGGCCGGGGGGATGCGTCTCCCAGACTCGGCGGCGCGAATTGGCAGCACCATCTTGCAGCGCTCATTGTGGTGTTCTGGGTCGGTTTGTCCCAGAATTGCGACTCATTATGGTCTCACCCTTGTGATTCGGCTCGAGTTCAGCTGGCATGTCTTTTTCCTGGGGCTCGAACCCAGTACGTGTTTACCTATGTTCCTATCGCTTGCTCTTCTACTGTGGCTTGAATCCTCTCTGTTCAACGTCCGCTCCTATGATTGTCCTTTTCCTTGGGCTCGAATCCGATGTGTTTACGCATGTTCCTATAGGTGCCCTTTTACTGTGGCTGGAATATTATGTGTTTTACGTATGCTCTTATCGATTGCCTTTGCCCTGTGGCTCGATTCCTTCGTGCTTCGTGTTTTAATTGTGTGATCTTATGTTCCAATGGTTTGCCCCTGTTCTGGGGCTTGGGCCCTATGTGTTTTACAGATGCTCCATTCGGTTGCTTTGATTTGGGGCTCGAGCCCTGTGTGTTTTGCATCTGTTCAGATAGATTGCCCCTCTACTGTGGCTCGATTCGCATGTGTTTTACGGATGCTCCTACAGTTTGCCCTTTTCCCAGGGGCTCGAATTCGATGTGTTTTCGTCTGCTCCTATATATATATATATATATTCCATCTCCTGTGGCTCGAATCCTATGTGCTTTGCGTATGCTCCTCTAGATTGCCCCTTTTCCTGTGGCTCGAACCCTATGTGTTTCACAGTGTTCATACAGTAGATTACCCATTTCTTTGGACTTGAGTCGCATGTGCTTCAAGTATATTCCTATCGATCGCCCATTTCCTGGGGTTCGAAACCCGTGTGCTTTACGTATGTTTCTATACATTGCACTTTTTCCTGGGGCTCGGATCCCATGTGTTCTACGTATGTTCTTATGTATTGCCCATTTCCTGTGACACGAGTCCTCTTTGTTTTACGTATGTTCCTATGTGTTCATTTTTGGGCACCACTCGTACGGTTTGTGGCCCCATAGGGAGTCCACCGAAGGCCCTAGTGGCAGGGTCCACATGGCGGCGCCGCCCCATTTTGGCGCACCACTCACACGTATCGTGGCCTCAGAGGGAGCTCCACCGAAGGCCCCAGTGGCAGGGTCAGCATGGCGGTGCCGCCCCATGTTTGCGCACCCCTCATACGGTTTGTGGCCCCAGCTCGTTCGGCTGGCCCTGTCGCCGGCTGCCCCTGGCCCGCCCCGGTGCCGCCTCTGTCCGCCTGTCCGTCGCCCGCGCGTGTTCGCGCTCCCCGGCGCCAGCTCCTTCGGCTGGCCCTGTCGCCGGCTGCCCCTGGCCCTCGCCGCCGCGGTGCCGCCGCTTTCCTCTGCGGCCGCCTCTGTCCCCGCCTGTCGGCGCCGCCCCATTTTGGCGCACCACTCGCAAGGTTCGTGGCCCCACCCTGACTCCGGATCCGCCCTACTTTGGGGAAATTCGTAAGTAGGGCTTGGAATTTCCGCCTTACTTTTCAAGCCCCGCTGATGCCAATTTCCGCCCTACGTTTCTGTTGTTGTTTCCGCCCTACTTCAGTGGATTTTCGCCCTATTTTATGTTGGGTGCAGAAATTTCCGCCCTACGTTTCTGTTGTTGTTTCCGCCCTACTTCTGTGGATTTTCGCCCTAGTTTATGTTGGGTGCAGAAATTTCCGCCCTACTTCTTCGGCTCCTGAGAGGTGGATTTCCGACGCAATTTCAGGTTGGAAAAAAAGCCAAAGCAGGGCGGATCTGGAGTCGGGGCATAGGGAGGCCACCGAAGGCCCTAGCGGCAGGGTCCACATGGCGGCGCCGCCGCCCCATTTTGGCGCACCCCTCGCACTGGCTCGTGGCCTCAGGGGGAGCTCCACCGAAGGCCCCCGTTGCGAGGTGCGCAGGGCGGCGCGGCGCAGGGCCCTCGGTCTGCGCGCAGCGGGAACAGGGAGAGGAGCATGAAGCGGGAAGAAGAGGCACGATCGTGCCCCGATTGTACCCTTCCTCGGCACATGCGCGCACACACTGTGGCAGCACTGCCAGTCGCCACCGCCAGCGGGTGCCCGATCAGATGACCTGCGCCGCCGCGAGGCCTGTTGCCCGCCGGGGCAGATCCCGCAGGGTTGCTAGCTCCCACTCCTCAACACTCCCGGCGGGAAGAAGATGGAGACAAAACGGCCGCGCACGGGGCGCGGGTCAAAGCAAGAAGCCAAAACTGCCACGCGCAACGCAAACAGAGAGAGAGAGAGAGGGAGAGGAGAGAATAGGCTGGGAAGAAAATGGGGGCAAAACGGCCGCGCAAGGGGCTCAGGCCAAATC